GAAGGCTTTCCAAGCAGAATGTGAAAACCTCAAGCATATGCCCAGGATTTCTAAACCTCCGATAAAATAACGGAGGCTCTTCACTGCTATTGTCCTGACCAAAGGTTAGAAATCTGGACGTGCCCAGTCCACACGCGCAGACGAACCCACTCCTAACAAGGCCAGCACGACCCACACCCAAGCCCTCATTCAGTTTGCACAGGTATCTGCTCCCCACGGCACCTCCAGCGCAAACAGAACGCCTGTTGGTCTTCCAGCACGTGGACAGATCACCTGTACAGCGCACCCGCAGAAGGTCCAGCACTGCTTCCAGGCGGACCCCATAGCTCCTTATGTGCTACAAAACACGTGAATTCACAGCTAGAAAATCCCAGACAAAGTATCGTAAATCTTTCATGGCTGTTTGCTAAGGCCAGTGAGCAGACAGGTATCAACTGTCTCTGTAGCACGGCAGCCTATGTCCTGTTGAAGGACGCTCTTTGCGGTGCAGGAATTACGAGACTGGCTCCATAAGTAATATATGTGGCAGACGCTGCAACAGAAGATGTGATGGGCCGAGAAGTCTTCTAAGGAAACGCAAGAGCTCCAGCAGGTGCATTCTGCATGTCCCCCTAACTCCAAATATGCATGAAAATAAAATAAGCTGTTTAGAAACCGCACCCAGGAAACTGGAGTTTGCCTTCCAACCTCATCAGAGGAACCACAAGAAGTTTCAGGAAGTAAAACAAAGTAGAAATATACAGGGCAAAAGCACCTTACAACTACATCCACAAAGGAAGCTCTAACAGTTGATTTTCTCAGCTGTAAAAGCAAACTGGCCATCAATTAAAATTTTAGAACTGCTTAATAGGAATTTTGTATCTCATAAAGACCTGTTATCACGGGGCAAACGTCCCAAGAACTGACTCCTGGGACTTGGATTTGGGTATTATTAAAGATAATGACGATATTCCTATACAACAAAATAATGCCTAATTCTAATAATGATAGTCTCATAGCTGTGACGTTTAAAATTAAAAAATATATATTTGGGAAGACAAAGGAGAGGAGGGAGCTCTGGCAAGAAAGTTTACATTTATCCTAGACTCTCTGTAAAGATCTGGCTGCAAAAGATGTCTAAGAGACAGCTATTTAACTTCAGGAGTCAGTAACTAGAAAAACAACACTACAGACATCTGAACAGAAAAGATGTAGCTGTAACCACGACAAAGAAAAGTAAAAGAAATTAAGAAGATACTTACAAAAAAGATTTATTAAAAAAGCATAATAAAGACTTGTAATTACAAAGGAATTAGAGAAGCAGCAAAAGAAAGATGTTTTCCAGAAGAAACTTTTCCAGACATGTCCCAAGCAAACTGTTAAAAAAATCACAACAAAGATGCTTTTAAATACAGATAACACTACTGAAAGTGAACTCAAGATAAGTGAATATATTAAACAAAAAAGTTGATAGTCTGAGCGTATCAATGACAATGAACTACTGATATAGCCCAATAGTTTCTGGGTAAGGTCACAGTTTGTTGGTGTGTTTCAGACTATCAAACCTATTTATCTGAATTATCTCAAGCTAAAAAAAAGAAAAAAGCATACATGCATCACACATACAAGAAAGACTGAAATAAAATTCACTGTTTTCAGACATAGCAAGAAACGGAGAGCTCTGAACAGGAAAGGAAAGACTCAACAGCTGTGAAAACTGGGTCCTCCCCCAAAAGTTCTGAAGACCAAATGAGTGTATCTGCTCAATGTCACTGGAAATTAAATTAGCAACATTTATGCTTATTCAAAAGCTGCTGTACAATAAGAAAACTAAAATATGACACCACAAAGTGAAAAAAGAAAAACTTATTGCTTCGCCCCCTTTCACCTGAAGATCTCAACTAGCTCCATACGAAGATGCCTAATTATTTCATCTAATGGAAAGCCAACCCTAAAGCACTTCTTGCACAATAAAAAACATATTGCAGAAACAAAAGCAACTCTTATTCCATCTGGACCTTTAAAGCAAAAACAGAACCCTGAAATATTATGCAAAGCAAAACAGTTTTCCTAAGAAACAGAGAGCCACAATGTCCCTCAATCTCACGCTCTTGTTTTCTTTTTTTTGAGGGAGTGTGGGGGTAGAAGACAGGGAGACAAAGAGATTCGCTTATGTCTTGCTACGGCCAAGACCAACACTACGTGCTCTTCACGAATGCCCTCAGGACAAAGTCTAATTTCAACACAGGAATGATAGCTGGGTACAAATTTAAAGGCAACGGTATTACATCCACCTACAAGGACAACTGACTTGGCTTAAAACTGCTGTGTAATGTAATATGAGAGAAAAAACAAAACCAAAAACTTGTGAAGAGGCAAAAAGACAGATTTACATATGTGACTGAAAATGTAACATATTCGCTTAAAATTCTCTATTCTTTATCTGCTTGTTGTTTCATAGCAGGAGGAACTGGTGACCTGAAAATGCCCCGTCACTACAAGTCTGCCAGACAATCCCGATATTCACAGCTTTCATACCATTGTAAGTTTGGAAGGGACCTCAAGAGTCTTCACAAACTTATCCTCCATCAGGAGATAAGCAATCATATCTATGTTATTTCCAACACGTCTGTCTAGTTTGTTGCTAGAGGCTTCCAACGATGAGGACTCTTAGGCAACCTATTCCAAACATTTACTAACCTTTCTAATAGAAAGGGTTTCTTAAGGTCTCTCTAGTCTTCCTAGCTATCATAAAGTGCTTTCTTACAATTTAACGCTCCTGTTATTTAATTGCCCATGCGGTGAAGAAGCAGCCTATTGCCAGCTCTGCACCATTTTTTGTGTGTATATGCAGACTGATATCTCTCCTCAGTCTTAAGTTATGCAACCCCAACCTTTCCCTGTTGCTCTTACTTTACAGATCTCACATGTCCTGTTGTTTTTCTCTAGACTATTTGCTCTTCAACTGCACGACCTCAAACTTGATGCGGTACTGCAAGAGAAGCTTTACCAGTGCCGAACAGAAAACTGCTTCACTTCTCTCACAGACTACACTGTTATCCTTACACTGAAAATGCACACAACATTTGTTTAGTTTTATTTTACAAATTTAGATGCATATGGCTGAAAACCAGAGTTGGCCTCATGATTCCAGTGTGTAAAACTGAACTGTGAAGTGATCATGAGAGCAAGTTATTGTTTAAACAGCAGCAAGATAATATGAGTGCCAGGAGCTCTGACGATCATAAAGACTGCCATGCTAGAGGGAGACTGGAAAATCTATAGTCCAGCAATAACTAATATGATGTCCATAACTACAATAGTTTTAACTTTCAGATTAATTAGATCAGTATGTCCTGGTCTACCTTTGCTCTTCTTTTAAACCATTCTTGGTACCTGAAATTGATTAATGTATCCATAATTACTATTTTACAGCTCTACAGAATATGTACCTGTAAAAGTCTTTGAGATCTCAAAAAAAAAAAAAGGGCGAGATATAAAACCATTTCAGAATGGCTATTTACCCAGAGTTTCAGTGATTGGGCCAGAATTTTTTTTTGTTGGGGGGGGGGGGGCTGGGGGGGGGGGTGTTCCTAGTGCACGTGCTGAGATTCAACAGGTGCCCAGGTCAGGCAGACTTCAGGAATCCTCCACATCACGTAACCTTGAGCTCACCTCGTTGTTAAATTTGGTAACATACACACCATGGCACACTGAGCAGCAAACGCCCCCTCGGAAGGCCCAGCGCCGCCCCAGCTGAGCAGTGCGAAGGTCAGGCCTGTAAAGCTACACGTGCGTAACTCGTGCCTGAGTCCAGAGATCACCGGGGTTAACACACTCGTATTTCTGCACAGCGGAGCGCGCGTGACAGAGCAGCGCTGCCTTAACCTCTCAGCACCCCAGGCGGCTTCTCCGCGAGCAGAGGCGCAGCCACACACACACCTTTCACACGCTCTCGCAGCCAGGTATCAGCGGCAGGGGGGGCTTTTTTGCCCCGCCCCCGCC